AGCAAGTGTTTTACATCCATATGAAAATATTAAATACCTATTTGTCTAACTCTACGTTTTAAAACACCAGATTATTTGCATAATATACATGTTGAAATGTGTTAGAACGGTATGAATCAAACTCATATATCCATGTGTATAGGAGTTGTGGAGATTATTAAATTTTAAATTGAGATCATGAACTGATTGATATTAGACCACCGTTGGAAACCTCAAAGCACTGGACAGCTGTTTCGTCCTATTGTAGGATTGTACTGTACTGATCTTTTGTAAATATTCCTATTGAAGATTTGAACAGTTCATCAACATATAGGTTTCATTTTTCTGAAACCAAATTCAATATATTATAAATGAATAAATGGTAATTAAATGATGTAAATCGAAATTTCTGTTACAATCAACTACTTCGTAATAAGTTAGTGTTACTATCTTGTATTATTAATGATCATCAGTGGTAATTCTATATATCTCAAAGGTTACAAATCATCATTCAGAATAGTTTGTCAATATTGACTCAAGTTGACTCATTATAATAATGGTATTGAATCTAGTGTATGATATAGAAATTCCAGGATCTTTTTTGAAATATACTTTAGTATATATGAATAAATAGGAAAGATTATATAACATGTGTATTATAATTATGTACAAACTGAGGACTAACACACAGAGCAATTATTATTTCACACAACCAACCAACCAACCAACCATTAAAGTCATTGTTAATCAACAGATTCATGTTCTTCTTATTATTGTATTTCGAAATGTATCTATTTGTAAAACTAGGCATCGTTTCAGTTCATCATCGTTTGTTTCTTTGGTATCTAATCCATTCAATTCAGCTATTTAGAATTTGTTTCTTTTAAAAAAGAAAATTATTTTTAATAATTTCAGCAATAGTAATGTACACACCATTATGAATACCTTCAAATTGCCTGATATCATAATGCTAGTGAATTAAGAAACTTTAACTTAAATAATGCATGAAATATTATATGCATAGATGAGTAGTGGCTAACAGTGGAATCCGAGACGCGAGTTTCATCCAATTTGTGACTTATCAAACGGATATACCTACATCCCTGAGTTGATGTTCACTCTGAGATTCAAATCCAGTACCGTTCGCTTTGAACACCATTGCGTTATCTACATAACTACTTAGTCCTGATAGTCACTTGTTTGTGCAATCGGGTGAAGTTTAAATTCAATCGGTAAGAAAATTTAAACAAACAATACCAAATGAATTTGGTGCATAAAACATTTAAAGTAATACGAAGTTTAGATTTTCCATACAGTTGTAATGTGGACAACATCAGAAATTGTTTTTTTTTTATTAATGAAGACTTTAGAACAGGAAATTGAAATTGCCATATGAATTAAGAGAGTTTAGTTAAACTTTTGTAATTATCTTAACTATTGGCAAATAGGACGAAACGCGCGTTCTGAATTCCACTACTAGCCACTATCCATGTTTGCTTAAAAAAGCTTGTGAGTTAAGGCTGTATCGAGGCAATCCGCACAGGATGCATATTTGCCAAAATGAGACTAATCAATCGCAGTCCTAAATAACAATGGGAAGATACAAGTGCAAAAACATCAACTGAATATTGGCAATTACATTCAAAATAGCTTGATTTTATTTTTGTTCAACAATCTTACATGAAATATATGAGTAAACTTGGTAGATTATATGTACATTTGTATATATCAAAGTATATAACCACAATCAAATGTACATTATTAAAATAGTTTCCTTTTTTATGTAACCAATCCCTTAGTAACAAGATTTTCATTTTAAACCATTCATAAGTATTAACCTGGTAACAACCAATCATTTCAAACATCATCATATCAATTAATCTATAAATAGAGTGATATTTCAGTTAACTGTTAACAAAACATTACACTAGTATTGTTGTTAATTTGTGTGGTGACCAATAAGTAATAAACAGGTAATTGTGTAATTTTAAAATTATTTTTGTAACATTATATTATGTAATTTACGTAAAGTTGTAATTGTTTGCTAAAATGTTCCCTTAGTTTTCATGTTTTAAAGTTACTGTTTAGATTAGAGATAAGAGATTCAATGACAATAGACATAAACTATTTATGATACTTAGACATGCTAGCTATGAAGAAATATGTATTGTTGTTTGTCACTAAATACTTATTTTAGAAATTTCAGTGGTTAAGATCATGAGTCAGTTGAAGCTAGATCACCATAAGAAAACCTGGAAGCACTGGAAGGCCATTTCGTCCTATTATGAGACTCCTCAGCAGTGCGCATCCAGGACCTCACCCCATGAGAGATTTTAGAGTTCTTAAAACATTTAACGTAATCAGGGGCAAATCATCTATCATATGGTTACACAGTAATCGTTTCAATCAGTCGAGCTTTATATGACTACTTATGTTGATGCCTATAACTAAATGGAATGGATCATAATCACATGTAATATCAGTCGGTGAATTTGTATATACAAGTGTGTAATCACTAGTAAGAATCTAAGAGATGATTATGATTTATGGTTTGAGATAGTGATGGAAGATAAGTAATATTCAAGTTGATCATATAGAAATGTAGCAGCCAGTAACATTTACATTTAAGTTATGAAGTGGAAAAATATCAAACTGAAACATCCAATACTCTTCTGTATTTATTTTAAATTAGAGCTCAATATCATTTCATCCTTCTTAATATTCGGCTTCAGTCATTTCGTTTAAAACCATTTTTAACATGTTTAGCTTTCAACTACATCTGAAATTACTTCCTCTCTTTACTGCTTCTTATTTTATTAACATCCTTCCCTACTATAAAGATAAGAAATGTGTTTATTTGGGCCGACACATACTTGTCCAAGGTCTGTGAATGACCGCCTCATTGAATGACTGCCAGTTTAGAAAAAGAAATTTCAGACAAACATGAAATTAGATGTGATAACTATATTGCCTTCTTTTGAAGTCAATACTTTAACAACATGACATACTGTGGTTTTTTCTTTGATGACTTTACTGTTCTTACATCCATGAGATCATGATTTTTCAATATTCAATAGTTAATCAAGTGAAAAGAAAGTAATTTTAGATAGATATTTATTCTATATACATTGAATACATTCTTATCCAAGAAAACAATTCACCATGGTAATGACCATATGTTTCCAACTTGGAAATGTCAAACCAGTTAATGGTAGATGATGGTTTACAGTTATAGAATGAATAAAAGCTAAAACTTTAATCAGGTCTGAATAATAATGACTAAATTTCAATTCAATGTGAATGATGTGGCATATGTATATTGTGTTAAACTTGAAATCAGTCCATCACAAATAAAATTTTCATTACAGATAAGTATTTTGTATAGTAAAGATAGTTTAAAGAATTTGGATTGTTACAATTGATGGTCAACTGTTATGACTGTGTTATCAATTGTTATATCCGCTTGTCGCTAAATGTTTTGTTGGAAACGTTTATTACTTATACTTGTGAAAACGAGAAAATCACTGCCATTCCCACGATTTGAAAGTAAAAACACAAACACTGATACAGGTGAAGATTTATTATTAACCTCAAAACACGACGACGACGACGACTCTAGTCCATAATATACTCACCCATTTTTTGGTTAATAATTAGGATAAAATCACGTATACGATAAATACCTAGAGTTATAACAAATTACACGCTATATATCATGCTGAGCATAGTTCATGCTCACTCGATACAAAAATATAGTATGTTATACAGAATGAAATGTAATATAGGAAAATAGAAACAAACACTACACTGAATAATTATTGCATAGGATTGAAATAGAAGTAAAGTAGAATAGAAACCATAAATGACTATTTAAGAATTCAAATCCATTGTCAGATGTTTCATTGTGACTACAAAAAAGAGTTTTATATCATTTTATAATTCATATCTTCAATGTAGTACATTAGTTGATCTATATGTAAAAGATATTTTATATTTATGGATTGAAAAGAGATGAATCAATTAATCACACTTATTATCAGAATGGGTTTTGTGGAGATTTTAAAAATTTCAAAAGTTGAAATCATAATTCAATTGAAGCCAAACCACTATGGAAAACCTGGAAGCACTGGAAGGCCGTTTCGTCCTAGTATGAAACTCTTCAGCAGTGCGCATCCACTATCCCGCCGCCCCCCCGCGAGATTCGAACTCAGGACCTATCAGTCTCGTGCCAGGCGCTTAATCAACTAAACCACTGAGCCGGCATCCAGTGGCGTTAATGTCTAACGTCAACCAATCCACGAAGTTGTGCCACCATACACCATTGTCTTCAGTGAGTTCCACACTTATATCTGTACTATGAAAAAGTAAAATGTCGGATCGAAGCAAACAAATACTGTTTTACTGAGTTAAAGTTAATAATAGTATTACCCTTTATAGATTTACATATATATTACTAATTAATCAAGCTATGAATCTAGTCACTCGATAGATTAAATTAGTTCTATTCTTAAAATGTTACATGATGTCTAATCAGTACCGTGTTACCAATGAATTATTCATAAAACGCGTTACTTTCTTTATGATGTATACTAAAATAATGAGATATATGCATATATAATACTTAATATAATAAATAGGTCATATGAAAATAAGTAGTTAGAATGATCTAGAACAACATTGAAGTATAATTTCTCATCAACGTGTAAGGGCGGTGGCGGTGGTGGTAGTGGTGGCGGCGTGTGGAGGGAGGAAATGACAATCATCATGCAATACTTGTCAATCAATATTAATGTATCATGATTATAAATAGATTATTGACAAAATCTAGAAGATCTTCCATTGTTTTGTCAAATAAACAGATCGTATTGACGGCGCTCATTTGTTCTATATATATAAATAGAGTGATACAAAACAATAGATTAATTAATAAACAAAAGTAATTCGGAGTAAACAAGTTTATTTTTGATCTTGTTTATCTTTTGTTTTATATTACACTATATAAATCATTGTATTATGAATGAATGATTATTGTATTTATTTTTACAGAGGCTAACTACAGTTCAACGGTGAGAAATCATTTAATTTAATATTCTTTTATAAAAAAAATTTATTCATTGATATTGATGTCAGATACTAACACCATTGGATGCCGGCTCAGTGGTCCATTAGGTTGTCCAGTGCTTTCAGGTTTTCCATGGTTGTCTAGCTTTAATTGACTTACAAATTCAACTATTACTATAATATCGATAAAACCCCTTTCTGATTGTAATCGCATTTCTTGATATGTTGCGAATCTAATTATTCAGCATATATATGCTAACTGATTACTTAGAATTTATGTTTGGCTTTGATCTAAACTTCTTGGTATAGATTTTATAGGAGTAGAACAAAAGTTATATATTTTTCTTTCTAACCATGAATACATGATTTGGTTGAGTTTAGACATGAACAGCTCTACTGTCTTGTAGATTAGACATTTAAGTCAAAGGTGACGGTTGTGTCCCCCTATGAAAATCTCTGGTTTCAGTTTGGTTACCTGGATAGTATCATAGCCCACACAGAAATCGATTGATTTATGTGGCTCATATCTATTTAATGCTTCCTTGTACCCATGTTCATGTATTTAAATAATAATAATAATAATAATAATAATAATAATAATATAGGATTGATGATTTCATTTCACTCTTACGTCATCTAACAACACAACACTGTAGCTTACCTCACGTCGCTGAATGGAAGTGTTATTCAAGTGTAATTTAGTACTTGTAATGAAATCCATAGTGACAAGAAATGCTTATTCAGTGAATGAACCAAAAAATGTCCGACAATCCGCTTTTCATCTTTTATTAAAGACTAGAGAAAGGATGGTTATCCTCACGCCTTTTTTTATCATTGTCAGTTACTAATGAATCTACTATAAGAGTACTGAAATTATTAAATGAGGTTATTTCATTTAATTATTTTCTGTCATACACTTTAAATGAATTATCATTCATATGTCAAACACTGAAAAATAAACGATAGCATTATATTATTTATGTCAAAATCATTCTACTTATAATTTTTTTTGTAATCGGTTTTCAAGCATTATCTGTGTAAACATTGACGACACTCCCAGGATTCCGAAATCGAATTGAGTGGAACAAAATCTTACAGTATAGCTTACGGGTTAGCTTATATAATAGGGATTTAGTGAGATTGTCTAATAAGCTCATGTCATTGTATTCACATGACTTATTGTAGTTCATGATCTAATTATAAACTTGAAGTATGATGGTAAATGAACATTCGTCCGTTTTTCACAAACATACGAATAAAGAATAATTATTTTAACCAAATAATTGCTGAACTCTGATTACCTTGACAAACAACACCTCAAATTAAAAACCTCTTTGTTAAATTGACCCCTTTCACTGAAATATGTTATTATGAGTGTGAATTCAAAAAATTAATGATTGGATCGTAGCGTGGCGTCGAGCCACGGTTGACTATAATCACTACTACAGGAAGGTTACATACCAGATGTTAGAAGGCAATCGGAGGTCGTAGCGAAGTATATTTGATGGTGAACTCGTAGTATTGAAAGAATACCAAGATCGTATCAAAGGAGTACAAGCGGATTCACTGAGCAAACTTAAGTTTGTGCAAGGTCACAATCAACGGAAGGAAGAATGGAAGAATAATGGATGTCTTTAGTACAATTAAACAAACAAGTACAGTAAAACAATCCCTGGTACAATTGGTTATAATCGTAATCGTTTCTATTACACTAATGCGTTCTGTTGACAAAAGTAGGTCACTACAGGATTATGCCTTAAGTTTATCATTGTAACCGTTTACTTCGAAGTTTATTCCTGCATACAGTAGTATTAGTGCAGTAAATAAGTGTGTATTCATATAAACAAATGTCTTAGTAACTGGTCAATGTGGGATTTGAACCAAGAATGAAGACTAAATAACAATCACTTTATTTCACATTGTGCTATATATATATATATATATATATATATATATATATATATATATATATATATATATATATATATATATATATATATATATATATATATGGCCTATTGTTTTCATCAACCTGAAGGAAAGGAATAGTGGAGTTTTACAAGTCTATCGGAAGTTTGGGTTATTTTTGTGTTGTATTATAGTATTATTATTATTATTATCATGACAAGTGTGCATTACAAAAACGTTTCGTTATACCATCTCGTCTGTTAATTACTCACAAGCAGGAAACATGTAAGTTGGTGTTTTCTATAAAGAAAGAATTTGCTGAAATTAAGTTCGCTTTTTTACATTTATAAACAGCTCCATGTTTGTTAATTTATGAAACTTTTGATTTGTTTTAAAAAAAAATTCTCTTAGGGGAAACGACGACGATCATCAGTAAGCTCAGATAGTTTTAGAAATATCTTTATATGTAATCTGATGTAGAAAATATTTATGTAAAGCCTAATTATTTACAAATGTTGATGAAAGAGTTATGAGGAAATTGATTTCAATTTTTAATCGATATTCTTCTCAAACTAGTCTCTATCAAGATAATATTAAAAATGGGCTAGAATTGAACAATATTAGGGAGATCCTCTATAATGGTATAACTACATAACTGGCTTGGATAAAACCCATGACTTTTAAGCTCGGTTTCATGTTAAACGCATTATGCATACATGCTCAACTTTAATGAACTCATAATATAGCACGAGAGTTATTTAATCCTATTGGTTGCAATTATTTCACTTTTGAATGATCAAATCCTTACGATAATGACTTCCCATTTGAACTTCAAGAACTTACCCTGAAATAAATCACTACTGAACAGAAGATTATTGTATTGTTTTGTTTAGACTGATCCAAATAGTATGCGTAATTTTTCACAGGACAGCAAAACAACTATCGAATGTTCCATGATCTCTACTAATACTTAAAAACTCTATGAAACAGTCATGCTCTTTTATAAACTGATTGACCTAGATTATTCTGTATTCATGTTCTTACACATTCAATCTTTCATTAATCTAAAACAGTAAGGTTAGAGTGAAATTTAAAGCTTTGAATCAACAACACAGTTTCAACTGACTCATGATTTCAATCAAAAAATTAACAATCTCCATAACACCTAAACTGATAATTACTATATGCTCACTAGTGACTAGCTTCGTTAAAAAATTCTCGGAGTTCTGGTGAGAAGCCATAACCAGTGGAGCTAATTCGTGTCGGGTAGAAACACGTGTCTACTTCAGTACAATGAAAGATGGTCGCGCAATTTCGTGGATTGATTGAGGTTAGACATTAACACCATTGGATGCCGGCTCAGTGGTCTAGTTGGTTAAGCGCTTGGCGCAAGACTGATAGGTCCTGGGTTCGAACCTCGCGGGGTGCGGGATCGTGGATGCGCATTACTCAGGAGTCCCTTACCAGGACTTCCAGGTTTTCCATGGTGGTCTAGCTTCGATTGACTCATGATTTCAATCAAACACATAAAATGTAGATATTTCGAACGTTGTAATTATGTGAATGAAGATTTTTAACAAAGCAATGGAAGGGAATATGGATTTAGTAAGAAGTTACTCTCTGTATATTGACATTCATCATTACGGGAAAAATCGAAATAGGGCTTCAACAAATCAATATATATTTAGATCCATGTTATTATACTTTAAATTTTTGAAATAGACATTAACTATGAATGTTGTTATTATATTTGTTTAATACAGTTCAGGATCCAAAGATCAGTACGTTCTTTCAGTACAATTTATCTTTTAGTTCATTAGCTATTCTTTTATCAAACACTTTCGGTAATGTACTTTATTTAAAAACTTGTGAAGCTAAATGGAAACAATGAATGAACCTTTACTTCATATTGTCATGCAAAAGATAATTTTGTTTTCATTAAACCATTTAGAAAATCTAAAATATCTAGACTAATGTTACCATTAAAGAGATCTAAATTCAGACTCAATCGTTCATATTAAATATCACAGTATACATTAAACAAGGATTATAACAATGTTAACTCTTCTTGAATACACCGTGAAGTATTCATTTCAGTCAAGAATATGGTTTATCCCTATTTAAATTGAATGAGTTTGATCCTCTGTGAGAAAGATTTATGTAAAGTTTAGATACTTGGATAATTTCGAATTTTTAACCGTAATCTTGTGGAAGTACTTAACTGACTTGGTACTGAGACTTCGTGAATCGGACGACTCATGTAGGAACATGAAGACGATAATTAAAGATTTGCTTGACTCAAAAAAAATAAATCAAAATCACATTTGAATACACTACTTTTTCTGTGATTTATTTACATTCACATTAACCGCTAGATTCGTATAAACTGAACTAAGCAGTATCTAACATCAATTAGTTAATAACTTATAGTGTGAACAAATATTTATCTTATCATATAATCAAGCACCTATAACCAATACAATTATATATCAGAGACGATTGAGAAACATTCGATGATGTGAATTTGATGGTCATATTGTGTACTGATTAACCATAATGTGAGATTTTATGTGGGAAATCAATAGCTGTGGTAGATAATACGAACTACTTATTCACCGTGAAAGGTTGCAATAAAATGACTTCACTAACTTAATATTCGATAGTCAAATATATGTGCTCTTCCGTTTATTTATCACACTGCTGATATTTGTGATAACATAGTGAAAATGAGAACGATACTTGCTGAAAAGCAAGATAAAACTGAAAACTCAAATAGACTTGTAAAATTGGTTGATTTGGCTCGTAAGCTTCTTATGATACCGTTAATTAGAGTTAGACGACATGCATTGTTTTCTACTTGTTCTTTTTCGACAATGGGAACAGAAAAGATAATAATTTTAAAGAATGCAATGAGGAAAGTAAATGAAACGGTATTGCAACAGCATCCATTTATGTACGACTATTAACAATTTCATGAATACAGTAAAATGTCACATTGTGAAATGTTATCAAATAAATAATTAAGCGGGTAGATTCACATTAACTAAGCAAACACTACTAATGAATTACTTAAATGAACACTTACAAGTGGTATTTTAATGAACAAGATCATAGACTAGAACAGCCAAAAGTCTCTCAATACATTACAGAATATCTTGGTAAAATCTGAGAACCATACAGTAAATAATTCATTTACAAATTATTCATCGATTGTCTTAAACTTTGTTGTTCGTTCATTTCTATAACAGCCACTCCCTGTTCTCGTTCTCTTCTCTTTGATTTTCTTAATCGCCTGCCGCCAGGCACTCCACATCCGATTGGTGATACGTACTACTTATATTTGTCGACATCAGTAGTACACACCATAGTACTATTTTCTACAATGTTTTTCATCTATCTTTAATGTTTGTTGTGTCAATCAACTCTTTCATGATACTTGACTAATTGTTTGACATAATTTGTTATTTATTTACTATGTTTACCTTGATAAATTATCAAACAAAACAATGATTTGACTAAATTTCTTTTTACTCCCCTTTGTATTTAGCAAAAAAGATAAACCTCAGTAAGAAATTATGTTTAGAGTAAACAAGAAACCAATGCATTTGTTCTATTAATTCATAAACCATTACATGTGAAATTGCTTTCTTTATCAAAGATTTCTATGGATTAACTTATGTATAGTATCATATCGTTAAATTAAATAAGATTAAATATGACCTGAAAATAAGAAATTGTTTCCTGTGTTATGCATGTACACACATGAAATGTACTCTTGCACTAATCATTCTCTATTCATAACATTATCAAATTATTGATGATAAGTTAGTTAATCAATATCATCAGAGAGCATGACACATAAGCATGTTGGACATGTTACCATGTCAGAGATGAAAATGGGCAAGATAAAAAGGAAATGAAAGTGAGATAATTTAGTGGAAATGATAATGAGAAAAACTGAAGATTATAAATATGGAAGAGATTGATTTTGGTTATCAGTGGAATTCAGGACACACATTTTTTTCAGTTCAGGACTCGAACTAATTACTTTTAACTCCGACCACCCAGCAAGTTAACTATTTAGCCACTGAGATCAGACAACCACCCATTTGTGTAACAGTTACGGACTTAATATCATTATTTGGATGAGTTTGGATTATCCCGTTGATGATACTGTTTGACTCCTGAAGTTAATATCAACACTAGGATGAAGATATATTCAGCTAACGATTCCTAAATGGAATGAAATGTGTACCCTAAATTAACTTCTAGCCACAATAAACCTATCACATAAAAACTTATAAAAAAAAGTTATATTGAGGCAACAACATGCACAGAATATACTATGTCAGTTAATACTGATCGAAATTCTGTCATTAATATTAGCAGCAGAACAATCCAAACCCATCCTAATAATAATGTTAAGGGTATATTTTAGAGCGATTGAGTGTAAATGTTTATATGAAGAAATTCAAGATCTAGAGATAGATAGAGAATAAATGCATCAACGCTACTGTGACTGATTCCAAGCCATCATCCTCTACTGCCAAACAAATCATTGAAACAGGTTGTAAGATTGATCTTAACTATGGTTTTGTGGTGTGAAAGGGCATATACTTTGTTATTGAAGCCTTAGCCATACGAAAATTCAAGCCCTCTCTTTGTTCTCACATTAAACTTACCCTGATAATAGTAGCTTATTATCCAGAGTGATGAGGTTTCAAATTGTTTTCACATTACTTCTTTATTATCCTTGTCTCCTCTTACACTCCATTTCTAGTCCAGTTAACCTTTTATTTCTTCATACATAAATGTTCTTAAGAAGTATATATGTGCTAATATATCATCACATAGTTCTGATAATCTTCGTCTTCTTATTACACTATTGAAATAGAACATTGTTTAGCGTTTGAATTATTTTTTCTGGTTATATTTTCTTAGAGAGTTAGTTGAGGTCAATAACCCAATGCCTAACCCTCCCTCTTTATCCAATAGCCCCAGAGGAGCTCCAGGCAAAGTGACAACATCGTTTATCGAGACAATAAACAATCTTCTTAAGTTTATATGAGAAATATTCCTTCTTGATATTTGAATAAACTTGGAATTTAACAATTAAAAAAACACACACGCTTTGATTTCACTTAGTGACTATATTTTAAAAATTTATTAGTCTCTAAGGCTGTTCGATGAAGTTTGTTTCTTTCATGTCAGCTTGATTTTTCTATTTATTGACAAATTACTTTTAAGAAAATGTTGTAATTGTTATTCAATTACTTTTTCACATTTCTAGTAGCTCTAAGGATAAGTAAGAAACTTTAGTTGTTTTGTTTGCATTTTTTCTCTGATGTTATTCATCATCGTTATAGTTTATAATCAAAGAGGGGTTTTGTGGATAATACAGTAATTTAATAGTTGAGATCATGATTCAATTGAAGTTAGACCACTATGGAAGACCTGAGAGCATTGGAAGAACGTTTCGTCCTATTGTAGGACTCCTCAACAGTGCACATTCACTATCTCGCCCAACAAGATTTGAATCCAGGACCTATCGGTTTCGCGCGCAAACGCTCAATCTGTAGACTACTGTTACAGTATCCAACAGTGTAAATGTCTAACTTGAGAAAAAAACGCCAAAAATTTCGCGAATTATTGAATATTTTATGGTTATTTTATTTTATTTCTAAGAAAAAAAGACGAGCACAGTCAGTAAGTTTTGTATTTTTTAATAAATTTATAAAATGAGTCAACCATTTGAGGTGAATGAAACTTCTTAATGTACAGTACATTCGATACATTTTTGGGGGTATTAATTTTACCAGTATTTTACATACTGATAACATGTCAGTCAGTCAGCTACAACGTAAGACCAGGCACATGTGTGCATCGGTCCAGGTTGCCATACCGCATCAGCACAACAAGATGAACACCGGATTCATAACAGTGGTTAGGTAAAAGGTGGTAATATATAAGAGAAAGATTGCATGTAGAGATATAGTACAAGAAGAAAGAATTGGTTCGTAGAAAGGAAGATATGAAACGATTTTAATCTCTTAGTTTAAGGGAAGACAGGGAGTGTATACACCGACGCCATTGTGATCGATTCTGAGCCATGTCACCAAGAGTCTCCAACCATTGGTTACTGATAACATGTATTTGTTGCCCTTTGTAATAACACGGAATTTATAATAATTCAGAGCATTTACGATTTGTTTCTTTTCTTAAGGAGGTTTTTTTGTAACTAGATAGTGTATAAGAATTCTGTCTTCAACACAAGCAAGAAAGAAAAATATATTTGAAAAATCTCAGCAATGAAATTTGAAGTACATCCAACATTCGCCTCAGCAATCTATTCTAAGTTCTTTTCAAAGAAATATAATCAAATATTAAAATTATTGAATATAAATAAGTATATGATTCTTCCATTAACTGTATAGTAAATATTTCCTTCAATAATTTTGGATCAAATCATCCAGGAAAATGTTGAACTTACTTCAAATTCATTAACTGAGATTTTACCAATATATTTTTCCTTCGTAATGTCTTACATCAATTCAGCGTCCAAATACTCTGAAACTATTAATTCAAATTCAGACGAATGTTCTTATAAAGTGAAATAGCATTTTCTGAATAACATTATTTTAGCAATATCCTTTTTATGAGATGAAATCGCTAGCCTCATAACTAGGCCTCCTCCTTTACTCAGGCTAGGGATAGGCATTCACCCTGGAATAACTTCATGCGAAATTAAAGTAAAATAGACTAAAAGTAGTAGAAAGTGTCTCTATTGTTTCTAGACGAATTCATTATTTAATGACTTTTAATCATACTTTTCTTCAGTTTAATGTAATTTAATGTAATTTCTGGTTTACTTCCACTCATAAAAGTCATAAATCGGGTTCCAAACATCGGTGAGTGTTATCATATTCTTCAATGAATCATATAAATTATTAATGTTCAGTTTATTAAAGAAGCATCAGACATTTTCTGAAAATATCCTTAATGATATATGAAATAAATAACCAAAGATAGATATGTTAGTAGGGAAATAAGTTACTGAAAATTAATAGTAATTATTTCAGTACTTCAAGTAAATCACCAACTCATATTGATAAAACTTACATGGATTTTGATTAGTTTACAAACGTTCTTTGATATAAGTTAGATGAAAGTTTCGGTGATAGTTTATTAAGTGTATTGACATGGTAACTTTGAAGTAATTCGTTATTTGGTTACGTTAGAATGGTGAAGAATAGTCACTATCTGAATACATTAAGAGGTAATATTCCCAGTTGCAACAAACTGTAACTCAGATTGTAACGCAGTTCGGAGCGATAGGTCAATTAAGTTATTATATATTCTTTGATATCAAGCATTTGCCAGATCGAAATTACTTATCGATTGCCTACAGAAAAAAACAACAGTATTTTGTCACACTTACTCATTTGGAAATAGTACAACGTTACAACTCAATCTACAATACTCGACGAGAGATAAAGACTAAAAGCATGATACTGTTAACACTCGGTGATTAGTTGGTGTTAAGTAGAGTAGAACTTACTCACATATTCATGATGAACTAAATATCAACATAGTGTTTTATTATGAATGTTTATGCCACGTTTCTTAAACTATGAGTATAACTACATTTATTATTTATCTTATTTATCAAAAGTCACGTATTTCTGTACTTCAATCCGTCTTACAACTGTTCAGGTCTTTAATTACCTATAAGGGTATTAACTTCAAAATCGTGACTAAAACAATTCATGATCTTCTATCGGTGATACAGCTGATATCACTAGTGACAATGATATATATATTTATACAGAATTAATCAATGTTAAAATCATTTTCACCTAAATAGCTTAATCGGTTCCGAAGTTAATTAACTAATATGTTTCTATATTATAATATTCATAATCAATATCTTAGTCCCCATGTTGTTGTTTTTTAAAAAAAAACTTTATTTGATTAGTTCTGGGTCATCGTAAGTCAATTTTTTTAATAATTGATCCAAATTTGAAATTGCCATCCTACTTAAATTAGTTACCGAATGGACATTTACTTTTAAAGCTTCATTATGAGATGGTGGAGAAGATTTGTAGCTCAGGTGGATGATTTTGGTGGAGTTTTGTTCTCTGAGCTGGATGGTTTGGTCGTGGAGCTCCACGACCAAACCATCCAGCTCAGAGAACAAAACTCCACCAAAAAGCTTCATTATTTTTTTAAACTTTTATCTAATTATATCTGAAGTTTAAAGAAGTCAGAACTGAGGTCCACAATAAAATGTCCACATTTCAATTTAATCAGTAAATAATAATCGATAGGTGTTCGAAATTATTGCACACACATTAGAGATTTGGAAATATGAATTACGTAATAGCCGAGTAGATATTCCCTGACCGATAAACTAGTAGATATTGCTGTTTCAGCTGACATTTTTCTCTTAAATTTGTTTTAATCACGTTCTATTAGGTCACGCTTTTTTGAAATTATATTATATTATCAATTTAAAGCTAATATGGGACTACTCAGCAATGTACATCCACCATCTCGTGGGCGGAAATCCGACTCAAGACTTTAGGTCTCGCTTGTAAACACTGTGCTTGCCGTAATGTGTTCTTTGGTCTTTCTCCTCTCATTCGCTCTTGAGGATTCCATGTGAGGGCTTGTCTTCTGACACAGTCCGGTGCTTTCCTCAGTGTGTCTTATTCACATCCGGCGAATCTTCCTGATTTCTTCCTCCTCTAGATTCTCGTTTGTTCTTTTCCATAGTAGGTTGTCACTAATATTGTCCGGCCAATGGATCCGAAGTATTTTGCGTAGACAACTGTTAATAAACACCTGTATTTTCTGGATGATTGCTTTTGTAGTTCTCCAGGTTTCCGCCTCATACAGTAGAACTGTTTTGACATTTGTATTGAAAATTCTGACCTTGGTGTTGGTTGATAGTTCACTTCACTAGAGTAATATTCCTAAAACACATACATGAGTTTCAATGATCAATATAACATTATAAATGAATACGTTTTCTGATGGAGTTTTGTTCTCTGAGTTGGATGGTTTGGTTCTGCTCACAGAATAAAAAATTCATCAAAATCATCTCTCTAAGCTATAAATCTTCTCCACCATCATCTCATAACACGTTTTCTTCATATAAATCATTTTATCTATACATAAGTGACAATTTTATTTCAAAACTATCCGTATATATATAAAACGCCTAAACAACAAATTATCATAAAGGAGAATATATTCATCTGATAATCGATAATGTTTTAAATTAGCACAAAACATTCATCATTCAACAAATCATTGTCAGAGTTGTTTTTCAACCTAATAAAAAGAAATAATGTAAAACTGATACTCTATTTTAAGTCATATGGATTTAGAATGATGTAACAATGTGAAATTAACACCTAATATTCAATTGAATCTTCTGATTAAATAGCATAATCATAAGAAGTTACTTAATTAAGGCTAATTGTATAATTTTCTTCTTAAGATTTGTTGTGTTTTTGTTTTGTTTCTTTTTTGTTTATAAAATTCATTATATTTTATTACTATGGGGTTGTGGAGATTGAGTTTGAGATCATGAACCGATTGATGTTAGACCACCATTGGGAACATGAAAGCACTGAATTGTCTTTTCATCTTAATATGACACTCCTCAGCAGTAGTCTAATATCAAATGATTCATGATCTTAATCATTATATTTTACAATTGTTTGCTGACTTAATAATATCCTTGTTGATATGATATCATCAGTTGATTTAACAGTATAAATGGATTGTTTGAGATATATTTCTCTTCTCAAGTATGAAACAATATTAATCTGTCTCTTACAAATTCATTCAATATGTTAAATGTCAATGTAGTTGAAAATGTCATTAAAAATGGTAATTTCAGTCAGTCAGTCAGTCAGCTACAACGTAGGACCAGGCACATATGTGCATCGATCCAAGTTGCCATACCTTATTAACACAACAAGATGGACACCGGATTCATAAAAGTAGTTAATTCAGTGGTGGTAATATATAAATGAAAGATTGCATATAAAGATATAGTCCAGGAAGAAAGAATTAGTTCGTAGAAAGAAAGATATGATAAGATATGATAATTTACATACGTAAATAATCTGAAATATACATTGAATGTCATTCAAATTACAGAATGTGTATTCAGTTTATGAAATATATAGTTGTTAATAAGTTAGAATTATTTTCAAACAATATTGATCTGTTATCATATCATGACTATACTATCCAGTTCAAAGAATGAAACACCATCAAGATCTGATATCATGTATAACTCACCTAATTATAATCAACCATTATGTATTCATAAGATTTTACTATGGTGCAAATTACAATAAAATCTGAAGTATATGAAAGAATAATATGTCTCATGAATTGTTTTAGAACTTTGTACAGGTTTCAGAACCTTGAAATTTAGGTTCTTTCATCACAGTTTATTTCTAGATACTCATTACATGAGCAGAACAGAAGGTTGTAAAATAAATTCGTTTAAACGTGTGTAGATCAAATAACTGTCCAATAAAATGAGTCTAAATTGATAAATCATTATTACATCAATTAATGTTTTGAAACATTAAAGTGGAAGAATGTTGTATTTATGACATATCAGTGAATGAATTTTGAAGTAAATTCAACGTTTTGCCTGGCGATCTGATTCAAGTTTTTTTCCAAGGGAGTATAATCAAACATCAAAATTATTGAATATAATTAGGTATATGGTTCTCCGGTTTACTGTATATTGAATAGATCATCCAATCCATGTCAACAATGTTTAAAGTAGGTATTTGCACTAAGTTTGTAAGAGACATGTGGTGTAAAACGAAACGTGTTAAGATAAGCGAGTGGTGTGAGAAGTAATTTCTGTCGTCAGGGAATTAAAAAAATACATATAATTTTATATATGATATGAATCTCAAATGTCACACACGTTGATTGGATGATCTATTCAGTATACAGTGAATCGGAGAACCATGTACCTATTTATATTCGATAATTTTGATGGTTGATTATACTCCCTTGGAAAAACGTTTGAACCAGGTTGCCAGGTGAAACTTTGGATTTACTTCAAAATTCATTCGCTGAAATTTTACAAATACATTCTTCCTCTTTAACATCACATATCAAGTCGACTCACAAATACTGTGAATCTATTCGATCAAATTTAGACGAACGTTCACTTTTTCTGCTCTTGATGTGAGCAAACAAAATGATATGTATTTCCTGTCAGTTGTTTATAGCCTATAATCTCTTAAAATCATAGTTATTAAAAAGATTCACATTCTCTGTATTAACGCAGCATAGATTCCAATAACATTAATTAAGATTAAACAAAGCAGTTCTAAATACGTTCGATAAGTGAGAGAAAATTCTGGAACATCAATATAGTAACTAAAAATCATAGGCTTCACAATTATTTAATTCTTGTGCTAATTAGCTGAACTAGATTATCGATGATTCATAGTAACGGGAGTTAAGATAAGGTAGTTTGAAAACATTTTGTAATAAAATGAGTTGTAGTGGGAGATTTATGACAATTACTTTCTTGAATTCATAAATTGAATCTGAGGTGTTTAATTACTAAGCTCCAGATACGTTTGGAAAGCTAAAGTTCTATTATCTTTTAATCATCTTGAAAGATTTGGATTTGTCAACTTGACATTTTGTGTCAACGAGATGTCTTGATACTGAACTGTTGAAAACTTATAATTTTTTTGAACTCAAGAATTTCGGAACATGTTGTTGGAATTGAATGTAGGCCTTTCTTTCTGTTCTGCCGATGTAACTGTTTTGGCAGATATAAGTAACATTATGCACACAATGAGCGGTAGCATAAAGAGGGTAACTAACAACCTTTGATTGGGATGTTGCGATATTTTTCGTGTATTTTATAAGGTCTTCTTCATCGTAAGTTAAAGTTTATTTGAAATAAATTAATGCATCGAAATGCTTTGGGATAAAATACTCACCTTTCACTTTGTTTAAAATTTGGAGTTTTAACTCACTTTGAGGTTGGATTAGCTGATAAACAATTTTATGCCTAGTCGCTTGACAGATGAAACAGATGTCAATAATTCCACAATAACAAATCCTACACGATAAATGTTTTAGTAAAAGACGAATATCTGGTGGTTTACCGAAAACTCAATCAGTTATATCCATAGTCAGCCAATAGATCTGCAGCAGAACTACTGTTTATTACAATTAGACAAAATTTTGTACAAGTAAAGTATTTTGCATTTCTAACTTAGTCAATTCTGAATGTAAATAAAATGATCAAATTAAGTATTCATGAAACTCTATCTCTTTCAAGCTTTTGTGAAGTAACTATAGATGAGATTATAAGCAGAGATGGATGATGGCTAGAAAGGGGATCCAGAATGCATGTTTCGTCCTATTTGGGACTTATCAGATGAAGTGGACATTACCTCTGGGATGCAGACATATCCAGCTGACGAGTCCCAAAAAGAATGAACCACGCATTCTGGATTCCACTGTTAACCACCATTCATCTACGCTTATAAAACTTGTGATTCAAAGCAATATTCAGTCAATCCGCACAGGATGCACATATGATAATAACATACTGATCAATTGTAGTCCTAAACATCATTTAGAAGATTCAAACAACCAATACAAAAATGAATTATGAATGAGACTATCTAAGCCAGTGAGAAAGCATATACGAGGATACAATAAAATATAGAGAACTCAAATAGTAATGTGTTTTTATAAGTTGTATGCTTTGACTTATCTAAATAAATTGTTCATCAAATAGCTAACACCTTCATGGGTTTATTTATGTACAACACATCAAAGTAGTTGAATGGATTTTCTTTCACAATACTAGACAATGAATATAATTTAAATCATCATTCATAGGATTAATCTTCCTTAATTTTCATTGTATCGTTTCATTCATCCATTTGTCTAGGAAGTTGTTTATTTTCTCTAAGTTTCCTATAATTAATTCAATGTTTGTTGTTTAACATTTAACTTAGATCGGACTCTGATCATAAAAAGTAAGTGCCATTACATATCAGATGAACAACTAGTTCATTATTAAATGTAGTATATAACTATAGAAACGTTGTATTCAATACAACAATTTACAAGTTAAGTAAATTATCAATTATGTGTCAGTCTTCAGGTAAATAGGATTTAACAGTTCAATATCTAAATAGTTAAATAGTTACTAAAGCATTTTGTAAAAATCAATAATATGTAGATTGATTTTGATCGACATCAAAGAACTGGTAATTTTATAGCACCTCACGTGCCATTGAGTTTGTTCTCATTTAATTCGGTCAATCATATATTCATTCTGTAAGCTTTATTATTAGATGCTTGATTGATTCGATGATCCATTCATTCCCCTATATATATATATATATATATATATATATATTTAAACCTACACTCCCTACTCTATCAATACGCTGACTCACTCATTTGCCTCTGTGCTTTGTGGTCTGATTTATCTGCTAATAAAACTGTAGTCGCTGCTTCTCTTTGCCTTCTGATTTCAAACACCTTTGAGGAGTACATGGTAACGATTACGAAGGTGATTGGTCAACGAAGCACAGCTACTACAATCCGTATTGGAACTCTAACTAACACTCACTAAGAAATCAACGAAGAGCTGGAAAAACAGATAATAGTGTCCTGATCGTACTCTGTTGAGTATCAGCTCAAGTAATTTGACATTGTTTACAATACTTCAAAAGTAACATTAGAGACTATAAAGTTTGGTGACTATAATAAATAAAAAACTTTCGTCTAAATTTGAACGAATATTTTCACAATATTTGGGCGCCGAGTTAATGTGAGACATTAAAAAAGGAAGAAAAAGCTTGAACCAGACTGCCAGACGAAACGTTGGATTTACTTCAAATTCTTTCGCTGAGATTTTACAAATATATTCTTCCTTTTTAATGTCTTGGTGACTATAGTTTGAATCCTGACGGAAGTAACAATTTCTTTAAGATTGTAGAAACACCTTGATAACTGGTAGCATCTGGAATGAAACTCAAGTTAAAGAGAGGTTCTTACTGTCTTCTTCCAACTCTCTAGCATTGAAAATTTGAAATTCCACATTCTAGGAAATATTTAACGCTTAATGCTAAACTATTCATTGAGGTTAACTCAAAGTTTTATGTGGTTTGAAATTAATTTTATCGTTATCTTTGTCAACATAAACATTTTTTCGATACTTTCAAACATTAGGAAGTAAAAGTCATGGAATTAGTAAGTTATTACACTTTTGTTGATAAAAGCATGTTGTTTTGAATAGCATTTATTATAGTTAGTATTGTGTAATGTACACAATGAGAATACACGATATAAGATACATATTAAATAAATTACATCCCTTATTTCGAATACACCATAAGCCTTCAAGTATCAAAACACTTTTACAATGGAATAGTATAAGAACATAGAAATTATAGGTTTCAATTAGGAAGAGCTAAACCGTGTTCTGGTAGCCTTTAACTACATATTCTAAGTTGGTTGTTAGTTTCACTTGAATCAATCGAATTGTAGGAAATAATAATACAAGAATTTACAATGTAAATCAATATTCAGTCAAATGTTGATAGACGCAATTGAAAATTTATGAATCATGTATAAAGTAACGTGGACTTTAATTATTGCTTCCTTAATAGTCGTCAACCCTATCTCTGACAAACATTTTATATACATTTCCTTTTTCTCAGTGTATGAAGATTTAGTTTAATTCTGGGTTTAATAATGAAAATGATTTTCATTAAAGTGAATTACATGTTGAATTTGTTGTCCCACCACTTCAACGTCCTCATATAATTAAAAAAAGGCTAATTTCACATCCTGGTATTTAAGTATTACTATACATTAAATTAGAAGGTAGGAATGGTGGTTTTGAAGTGAAGGCATATTAAACTTGGAAAAGCAAAGTGATATTGTGGTGTAGGTTACTTGTATCCAAATAAGTAGTATTTAACGGGTTATTTACAACTGAAGAACTTCTATTTAACAACTTATAAACTAATTTAATCTACCTACCCAAGGTCCCCTGATTTTCTATGATTCTCCAAATTACATCAGTTCATGACCAAAAAAACATCATATAGTATCTCATTTGCCAAGTAACGATGTATATAATATGCTATCACTTTATTTAAATGGTATTTACGCTAGATGACTGACTAACCAAATCGAGGTATATGAAGTCGTATTGGAAACTTCACGTCGACTACTTGAAATGAAAAGACATTGTTATATATATATATTTATCCGTATAGCAACTGTCACTATAGTTTCATAGGTTTTAATTTCTTCCTAAGCAGTTTTCTGTTTTCTCGGAACCGTGATTATTAAATACTTATGAATAACTATTCTTATTCATTTTATTTTAGATGAAAATGAAACGTTTTTACAATTTTTATCATTAGTTATTTTCTCATTAAAGTTAATTATTATTAAAATACATTCGTTTAAGTAAATGTAAAACGAAGTTTGTTTTTCTTTACACGCTCTAGTTTATCGAAACTTTGTATATTAGAAGTGGTATAATGGTTAAGCGCTCGCGAGTGAGACTGATAGGTCCTGCATTCGAATCATGCGAGGGGCGGGATCTTGGGTTCACATTATTGAGGAGTTCCATACTAGGACGAAATGGCCGTCTAGTGCTTCCAGGTTTTCCATGGTGATCCAGCTTCAACTGACTCATGATCTCAACTATTGATATATTAGAAGTGTAGAACACAATAGCATTCTCATAAGTAAACAATACAGACATACTATTTTGACGTTAATCCTTCATTTTTAAAGAAGATATCAAGCTTAAACTTTGTAGTGGTCAGTATTTGCGATATAATCTTTGAACTTCATAAATAGTTCATCCTGATAACCGTTACTAGATAATGTCCCCAACGGTGTGTAAAACAAAAGATGAGTATAAAGTGTTGATCGTGTTTACTATTTCACGACGCACAAATCTCTAAAACCACAGACACGTGAAACAAGAATGAAAGACTAATGCCGAAAAGCGAGCGTGCGAATTCGCGAGTTAAAATGAATAGGATTAAGATGTACATATATATAGGGAAATGAATGAATCTCATCGAATCCATTAAGCGACTAACATTAAAGCTAGCAAAATGAATATGTGCGTAGGTAGTAAACAACGTTGAAGGATATATATTCATACAAGCACAACAATAATAAAGGTACAATGGTATAGATAAGTAGTTATTGTACGAATGACTCTGTCCGTTAAACAAGTAAACAAATGGGCTTAACCAAATTAAATGTGAACAAAGTCAATTGCACATGAGCTGCTATAACTTCAGCATACAATAGATAAGTTCTATGGTGAATGAACATTTTTGATAAAAATAATTCGGCTACACATCTACAGTTTTGTATTCTATGAATAATCATTACTCGAATGAAAAGTCCCACTAGTTCAAAAAGTTAAATGAAGCATTATTGATCATTCATTGCAAGACAACCATTTAGAGAGAGTATTAACCTGAGAGGTTTTTAAATATAACCTGCTTAGAAAGATTGTCTTTGAATCACATTAGTGCATATGATAATGTTTTGTTTTGATGTAAAACTTGAGTAGGTGAATAAATCAGTTTACTTCATGATAAAGCTACACTTAATAAATGTACCATGTAATTATTTTATAACCTTAGCTTCACTCATTTGATGTATCTCTCGGAAATCCGTTCTTTACAGCAAAAAGAGTGTCTTCCAACATTTTCCTAACTAAGAAATCACCTGACACTTAAAAACACCAGTTACCATAAGAAATAATATAAATCCCTAATGCCATCCATAGTTAACAGTTGTTAGTTGTTAAGAATTAATGTTAGAGACTGAACAATGACTGAAGTTATGAGAAAAACGAGTCAGAGGAACAGCTGCACGGAAGTTACTGTCGTTTCTTCAACTGATAAAACTGTTGTGGTTGACAACTGAGAGTGGAATCAAAACGCTGTAATTATCAGGCCATACTGAATATAACTCTATGAGAGCAGATAATAATAAAGACCGGATATATTTGTCTGAACAACACAATTAAATTGATAATAATACTTAAAAACGTTACAATAAAAAATACCACGTAATTAACATTTCTGACTGTTTTCTTCCATACTATGAAGATCAATAATCAAAGTCAGTCGCCACGAAATAATGGTATTTTTTCATGAACTCCTAATGTCTACTGGACGAACGTAGCTGAATATAATCGAACGTTAAACGACGTGAATAGTATCAATGAAGGGGACACCTTGACAGTTGCACTCTTATAACAATCTAGCCCTTCTCATCTTTACCTGGTGGCCAGGCTATCTTAATTTTCTAAGTAGTCTTAGAGAGCAAACATCATTGCTATGTTCATTATATTCTATGCTTATTAATCGATCATGTTACCTTCGTTATGACAATCACTAACGGTATAATATTTTCAGAAGTCGAAATGAGATTGTTAGAAGTTATTAGGATTTGGTTTATGGATCCATAAATAGATCGGTGATCTATTAACCTGAACTCTTAAAAAAGAATGCTAAATCGAGGTGGAAACTTTCTTGTGATGACAAATGGTAAATAGTGACAACTGTAAGTATGTATTATTATCACATGCATGAAGACTTATTCATACTCGTTTTAATTTTTCCGTAGCTTGGAATATGTAACCTATCAAATCACATTGCTAGATCAAGTACACTTAGTTTGAGATCACAGTAGCATAAGAATCATGATAAAAATATGGCAGTAGGTTAAACTATAAGTGAAAGTATGAGTGACCTAAATGACCTTGAAAAATTCATGCTATCCAAACAATTAAAATGTAGAAAATATGAGAGAATCCTTCAGAATGATGGCTGAGGATTGACGTTTAGTATTCTTATGTTTGGTCGCAAAAGAATACAACTAGAAGATTGTTTTTACGCAACTAATGAATATCTCTTTGTGTGATATCAATGTATTGATCACAAACTGATATTACATTACTTACTTATTTACGCCTGTTACTCCGGATGGAGCATGGGCCACCGACCAGTATTCTCCAACTCACTATGTCCTACTGTGGTGTTTGAACAAACTAATGGTACTGGTTGATTGTACAATTTCGCATTCCAAATACAGTACATTCGGTTGTGCCTGTTTCTTCTTAATTCAATTGCGTTATTTCTTGGATTCTTAGTTCGTGCTATAATTCAAATAATTCGAAACATTATATTGGCGTCGTGATGGAACCTGCAATGGAAAAGTTGGATATTCATTCAACTTCCGAAGCAATTAAGGATTATTTGGAAAGGTTTGAAATCTGGAGCATGACTAAGAAAGATGTCAAAGGTGATAAAATCGTGGCACATTTCCTGACATTCATTGGGATAGAAGCTTACAGCTTATTAAAACCTTTGGCATATCCAGAAAAACCTATCTCACTTCCTTATGCAACTCTTAAAGAGCTATTATTAAATCATGTAAAATGCACCAGTTTTGAATGTCGTGAAAGGGCGAAATTTCATAAGATGGTTCGTCAAAATGATCAAAAAGTTCGGGAATTCATCCTTGAATTGCAGAAACAAGCAGCCAAGTCTAATTTCGGTAATCAACTCCATGTACAACTGAGATATCGATTAATTGCAGGAATTAACATACCGAGTTTGGAAAGAGAGCTGTTAAGAATGCCAAACTGTTCCTTTCAAGATGCTAGAACTGCGTGTATTAACTATGAAGCAGTGAATGAACTAGATATCCAGTCGATGAAGATTTCTAATACTTTGCTTAGTCGTCCTGATGAACTACAATCTCAGGGTCAGTCGAACTTGCGTTCATTTAACGGTGATTCCTATTCTCGTGTAAATATGAAAGGTTTTTCAACAAGGGATTACAAAGCAAATCACAAAGGTGAGATGAAGTTTGGTAAATGTTTATCATGTGGAATGTTTCATCCTCGTAATTCATGTGCATTTCGTAATGCTAAATGTTTTAAATGTGGTAAGATAGGACACATTCAGTCAGTATGCATAGCTACTGTCCATTTTGCTTCAAGTAGTATTAAATCTTGTCATTTAAATCTCAATAATTCGGATGTTTCTAGCGATCATTTATCTTTGTCTACTATTTCGAAAGGTAATGCTCATATTCAAAAGCGACTATATACATCTCTTGGTTCATTTCATGACTTTATTGTGGACACAGGCAGTATAGAGTCCATTATTTCATTCAAGAACTTGAAATTCTTAGATCCTAACGTTGTGGTACGACCCACTGAAGTATCAATATTGGGGATTACTGGACACAGACTGCCCATACGAGGATGCTGTGAATTACTAATAAGAGATGATAATTCTTCATACATACTGTGTGAATTTTTAGTTAGCGAAACAGGACTGTCAATATTAGGTTTAAAGAATTTGAAAAGGCATAAAGTGGAGTTGTCCTTCCTAGTTTCTAAGGAGAATTCTGATACTTTACTGAAAGATTTGATAGCTAGGTGTGCTAAGTGCAGTGGAGGTATGAAAATTCAGCCTATAAAACTTCAAGTACAGGGTGATCCAGTTTTTCTTAAAAGACGAATAATTCCTTATGGTCTTCGAGAAGCAGTACATAAGACATTAAACGATTTGTGTGCGAAAGGCATAATTGAACCAATTCAGTCTTCAGCATGGGGTACTCCTATCGTTACGCCACTGAAGTCGGACGGCAAGACCCCTAGAATTTGTGGTGACTATAGATTAACTCTGAATTCCCGTATGTTGAAGCAAACGTGCACGCCGGTGGAGGCTGAAGATATTCCAAATCGACTTCATGGTTCTAAAGTGTTCTCGAAAGTTGACCTAAAAGATGTTTATCTTCAAATTCCTTTAGATCAATCTTCATCTATTTTGACGACAATTAACACTCCGTTTGGTCTGTTCAAATACAATTTTCTTCCATTTGGTCTAAGTTGTTCTCCAGCCATATTTCAGGAAGTTATGAATAAAGTAGTTAGTGATCTTGAAGGTGTTGAAGTTTATCAAGATGACCTCATTGTTCATGGTTCTAATAAGGTAGTTCATGACCAGAGACTTATTGCTTTATTGCGTCGTTTAGTTGAGAAAAATATTACAGTGAATCCAAATAAGTGTTCATTTTGTGTATCTAGTTTTGAATGCCTTGGATACCTAGTTGATGGTAATGGTTTTAGACCAGATATGAAACGACTAGCTCCACTGACAAATGTCCCGTCTCCAAAAAATCTAACGGAATTACGTTCACTAGTGGGTGCTCTTCAATACTATTTCCGTTTTATTCCTAATTTTTCTTGTCGTGCAAATTGTTTATTTAATATTTTGACATCCAATTCATTCAAATGGAGTGAGGAACAAGAGTCGTGCTTACGTAATCTACTAAAGTTTCTTCAAAGTGATGCTGTTCTTCGAACGTACTCCCCTAGTGTACATTCTGTGCTTATTACTGATGCATCACCTGTGGGAATTGG